GTTGCCCTCCACTGGACTCTCTCCAATTTCTCCACATCCCTTCTGTAGTGGGGGGTCCCGGTCCCGCAGGGCGCAAAGTGGGTGCCTGGCTCGTGGGGATTCTCACTGGGGTTTCTGGTCTCTCCCCCGCCAAGAGGTGAATGTGACGATGGATGTGAAGCTGCAGGTGATCAACCGCGAGTTCACTGCTGACCTGGCCAACGCCTCCTCCCCGGCCTGGCGAGGGTTCGGGGCCTTGTTCACACAGCAGGTGAGCCCCGGGGGAGAAACCGGGATGAGAGGAAAACCTGGTAGGGGGGTGTCAGGGTGAGAGGCCTCCGGCTGGGGCCAGAGCCACGCGCTGCCTCAGTTTCCTTAGCTGTGTAATGGGGAGGAATGGACCTGATCGGGGGGGGGGTTCCCAGCGTTGGTTTGCTGGCGAGGGCCGAGCTGGGGGCACTGGCAGCATCCGTGGTGTGGCTGGGAGCCCCACCGGCCCCTGGGATCTCCCCTCCCCCCAGCTTGGTGCACGCGGGCCAGGGCAGCCCCGGCTGGTGACGTGTGTCCCCTTTCCCTTCCAGATCAAGCCGGTTTATAGCCAGATCCCAGGGTTTCAGGACCTGGAGATCCTGGAGCTCACGTGAGTGTCAGAAACCTGGGACCCCCGGCGCCACCCACGGGCCCCAATCACTGGCACCCCCGGGTGGGTAGCAGATGTTCCTGCTAAGATCCCCCACCCCATCCCCCGCCAGCACCGCCATGTCGAAAACGGCCGGGGGGGGGGGGCGGTAGCAGGCTGCTTGCACAGAAAGGGAGGGATCTGTGTGTGTGTGTGTGTGTCTTTGCACGTGTGTGAGCAGGTGTGTCCTTGCATGTGTGTGTGCAAACATGTGTCCTTGTGCGTGTGTGTGCATGTGTGTGTACGTGTGTGTGCCTGTCTATGCAAGTGTGTATGTGTGTGTGTGTGTGTCCATGCACATGTGTGTGTGAGCACGTTTGTGTGCACATGTGTGTGCTGCTACCTTGCTACCTCGGAAGCACCACTCCCCAGCCACACGTGGGGCGATGACGGAGGCTGACCCGGGCCAGGGACGGGGGGCACCCCACACAGTGGAGCAGCCCCCGGGTCCCCAGGACCCTCTCCTGGCAGGTCCCCATGGGAGGGGCAGGGGAGGCGGGCGCAGGCTGATGGGCCCCGGGCGTTTGCTTCCCCAGGCCGGGCAGCGTTGTGGTGGCCCACAGGGTGGCCCTGGCCGTCCCTGTCACCGCCCAGCTCAATGCCACGCTGGAGAACCTGCCCCAGCAGCTGGAAGAAGAGATCAGGCTGGCAGCCCGCGACCAGGTCGTCTGCACCAGCAGCTCGCGTGAGTCTCTGCCCCCCCGGCGGGGGCGGGGGAGACACGCAGGGCAGCGAACCCCCCCCCCCAGGCCTCGACCCCCTTCCTGTCCTGGGGGGGGCAGGTTTCAGACTGCACCAGCGTGGCAGTGATTGGGGAGGGAGGGTGGATGGAGGGGGTAGGGGTAGAGGGGATGGGGGGTGGATGGGGGGTTGGATGGACAGAGGGACGTATCTGGGGGGGAGGGAGGGAGAGGTGGATGGACAGACAGCAGGACGTATCTGGGGCGGGACGGGCAGAGGGATGGAGAGGGGGAAGGAGGATGGCGGGGGCGGATGGGTGGATGGACGGGCAGCAGGACGTATCTGGGGAGGGGGCAGGGAGGATGGACGGACAGCGGGACGTATCTGGGAAGGGGGGAGGGAGGATGGATGGACAGCGGGACGTATCTGGGGCGGGACGGGCAGAGGGATGGAGAGGGGGAAGGAGGATGGCGGGGGTGGATGGGTGGATGGACGGACAGCGGGACATATCTGGGGCGGGACAGACAGAGGGACACTCTGGCAAAGCCGGGAGGGGGGCGGTTTGCCCCCTCGCTGCCCGGGACATCTCCAGTCGCCAGACACCCAGGGCGTCCCTCTCGGTCTCTCTCCGTCCCCAGGGGCTCTGTGTTTCAATCCCTCCTCCACCGAGGTGACGGGCCGGACAGCGACAGAGTTCAACGGTGCAGGTGAGCCCCTCACCCTGCTCCCTTGTGGGATGTCGCACCCCCAGAACTGCCTCCTCCCCCACCGCTCTCTCACCGGCCCCTCCTCTCCCCTCCCCAGAGTTCTGCAGGCAGACGCTGCCCCCCGGATACAACGCTCACTTCTTCCCCCGCCCGACGCCCGCCGGCTTCACCTGCGCCTCCCTGTGCAGTGGGGGGGTGCCGGGCGCCCTCGGCTGCAATGCAGGACAGTGCCGGGTGTCCCGCGCCGGCGCCCACTGCCGGTAAGTGTCACCCCCGCCCCCGCGGCGAGGGTCCCTCCCGTACAGCGGGGAAATGAGACACACAGCCCGGGTCCCGCCCTGGCCAGGGAGCTCCCCCTTCCCGGCCCTGTCCATAACCCCAACCCGTATCCCCCGCCCCCCGGCCCCGTGCCCTAGCCCCCGTTCCCCTCTCGGAGGGGATCCTCCCCCACCCTTGCTCCGTGCCTAGGCCTGGCCAAGGTCGACAGCAACTGGCGAGGTCTATTTTGAAGCGTTTTCTTTTTCGGTTTGGATCCGTTCCCACGCTCACGGTCGCTGGCAGACAAAGGTCCAGCCCGGTTGGGGTGACCAGACAGCAAGTGTGAAAAATCGGGACAGGGGGTCGGGGGGGGGGGAATAGGAGCCTATCTAAGAAAAAGCCCCAAATATCGGGACTGTCCCTATAAAATCAGGATGTCTGGTCACCCTAAGCCCGGAGGCTGACGCAAGACAAACACCGGCTAGAAATAAGGCACCAGATTCCCAACTGGGAGGTTTATTAACCACGGGAACAATTTTCCCCGGGGTCCTGCTAGAGTCTCTGTCATGGGCAAGTTTTAACTCCAGACTGGCTGTTTCTAACGCATCTGTCGCGGGGATTATCTGGAGGCAGGTTTCTGGCCTGTGTGATACAGGGGAGCAGACAAGATTAGGGTCACCCGACAGCATGTGTGAAAATTCAGGACAGGTTTTTTCGGGGGGTGGGGTGCATAGTTGCCTATATAAGACAAAGCCCCTAATATCGGGACCTTCGGCCATCCTTAGACGAGAGGATCACAATGGTCCCGTCCGGCCTTGGAATCGAATCCCTGACGTTTCGGGGGATTGGACCACGGCAGGGTGAGACAGCTGCTGTTTTAATGACAATAGGCGCCGAGGGGCAGATCGTGAAGCTTTTTATAACCACCAGAAACCAGCCACTGTCAGCGTCACAGCAGGTCAAAAGCCACAAGGCCCCCGGCCTTAACGCGTCAGCCCTCGGCCAGCGTCCTGCCGGCTTCACCCGTCTGCACCGGGGCCAGGGGAATGGCGCGGGCGTCCCATGAAACGGGCCTTTACCGATTTAAAACTCGAATCGTTCCAAGTCTGCCTATGCCCTGACCCCCGACCTCTAACCCTAACCCCGACCCCTGACCCTTACTCTGATCCTAATCCCTGACCTCTGACCCTAGATCCTAACCTTGATCCCTGACCCTAATCCTTTGCCTATTTAAAACTCGAATCGTTCCAAGTCTGCCTATGCCCTGACCACCGACCTCTAACCCTAACCCCGACCTGCTACCCTGATCCTAATCCCTGACCTCTAACCCTAACCCCTGACCCTAACCTTGACCCCTGACCCTAACCCTAACCCTTTACCGATTGAAAACTCAAATTGTTCCAAGCCTACCTAACCCCTGACCCTAACCCCTGACAAAAAAACCTGACTGACGCTAAGCCCTGACCCCTAACGCCGACCCTAACCCTGATCCTGACCCCTAACCCGACTCTGACCCCAACCCAAATCTTAAACCCGTCACCCTCACCCCTCTTCTCCCTTGGGCAGGGAAGTCTCTTCTCGGCCCCAGCCATAACCCCTGACTCTAGCCCCATTGAGGGGGTGGAGCAGACGGGGAAGGGGCTCAGGGCCCAGTTCTCACTTGCGGCGTCTGCCCCCCGCACCCAGCTGCCCGGCGAGCGGCCGGTTCTGGTACTTGGGAGCGAGCTGCGAGGTGCAAATTGACCGGGTCGGCGGCACCGTCAGCATCGTCGTCATCGCGGCCTTCGTGCTGCTCAATGGCGCCCTCCTGCTGGTGAGAGACCCCGCCTGGCCCGGGGGGG